TTGAGGTGACGTGCAACAACATTAACATTAACCTTTCTGTTGGTTGCTTGTTAGCAGACCCTTCACGCGATGGCAGAGCGAACAGGTACAGGCAGGTACTACCCACAAATAAACATATGGACATGGGTTACTATTTTTTTTTTTAAATGGTAAATGTATTTAGGAACATATCAATGTGATTTTAAGTGGGGGTGGACCTCAAATCCTCTAGGGGGGTCCAGGGGCATGCTCCCCCGGTAAGATTGTTTTTTAATTTTTGAGTTAAATGCATCAATCTGGTGCACTTTCAGGGGAAAATAAAGAGACTAGATCTATGGGAACGCCTATATGGAACAGAACTGTATACATTTCAATAATCCTAAAATCATGGCCATAACCAATACCATTTCCAATATGAAAAAAACACTGAAACTTGTTTATTTATTTATTTTTGGTTCATTTAGTTGTGAGTGTGTCTGTGCTCCTGAATCAGCCTCTCCTGTCTCCCTCCTCCCCCCCCTGCTCCTCTCCCTCCTCTCCTCCCTGCTCCTCTTTGAGGCAGCAGCAAAGACTAGTTTTAGCTCTCAACAAGTTTTAAAAGTGTATCTTACCTTTTTTCACCTAGTTAACTTTTTATTTATTTATTCATGCATATTTTACTAATCACTACCCTCTCAAATGGAAATATGTGTTTACAATAAATAAATAAAAAGTTAACTAGGTGAAAAAAGGTAAGATACACTTTTNTATGTGTGTGTCTCTCTGTGTGTGTGTGTGTGTGTGTGTGTGTGTGTGTGTGTGTGTGTGTGTGTGTGTGTGTGTGTGTGTGTGTGTGTGTGTGTGTGTGTGTAAAATAACTCAGGGCTGAGTATCCTGCCTGCCACCGTGGCAGTTCAGAGGCGAAGCATTGGTCTGCACTTTACCAAGTAAACACACACACAGGCGTCGGCTTACATTTGGGAGGAAATCTAGACACTCCCGCTCTTTTGTGCAGCTTTTATTCAAACTGGGCTTTCATAATTAAAGGCCAATTGTATAATCTGAATACTTTAGTTTCTTTATCAAATCTGGAGTAAATAGTTAGAGAAGGCCATCAAAAAAAAATCACTATCTTGACACAATGCGCAAGATTATGTAAACGGAAATATTAAGTAGGCCTCAAACTATTTATGTACCTATACGTAACATCAGAGATGTTGCTAACTATCCTCACCAATGCAGTGCTGCTGTTGTTCTGTCATTTGCAATTTAGTTGGAAGGTGAGAGAGATTCAAATGTTCCAGTTTATAACTATATATTCAGCTACATCATATGCTGTTTGAGTTGGTCAGTAATAGACGGAAATCGAACTATGTCAAATAAAATCGACAAAATATACATAATCCCCAATCAAAATCCTAAATGCATCTCATAATTGTTTCAAAGGCATGGGTGTGAGAATAAGCTTACTGAATGTGTGTGTGTGACCGCAGTCAGCTGAGGAGGCTTTGGTTTTGCATGAGGCAGGATCTCGGGCACAGACGGCCTGTGTTTACTGTCTTCTGCTTTCCCCTCCTACAAACATTTCCCATTCCTAGAGTGGAGTATTCAGTAGGTGAAAAGTCAAAGCCTTAATGTTGGTATATGAGGAAGTGTGCCCCCCACACCACCCCCCCTTTTCCTTTGTTGCATGGGCAGAACTACATATCTGACAACATGCTTTATTGCACAACACAGGAGATGAATTAGTGTTTCTGTTGCTGTGGACTGTGCGTAGGTTGTTAACAGTAGTCCTCTGATTTATTTCTGTCTACTTTATCTTGCAGTAAATGTGGGACTCTTCCCCCGGAGAGCTGCTTCTTCAGCCTGATCTGCAGCACAGGCTCATTCATGGGTAAGCATCATGTGCACACACAAACATTTTACATACATACATGAGGGCAGGGGAATATAGTGAAGTCCCATATCACAATGTTTGACCTCAAAAAGGATATTGTGGGGTTTGCTATTGGTGCTTTTACAAACTATTTACACATACACAATTTTGGATACATACCATCAGTAATGGGGATGTAATAATTAATAACAAAGTCTGTTATCTTCAAAATGCTTGCTTTTTGAGACAAGCTGGCAAAACATAAACATACTCAGGTTACTACTATATAAAAAGGAAACTGGCTAATCCTCACAATTCAAACCTGGAACAATCATAATTTTGTATCATAAATCATTAATTAACTATCAAATAATTGAAATTCTGTTGATCGACTGATAGTTTTATTACTACATATAATATCCAATCCAAAGTACATAAATATAGGATACATGAGTAATAAGAAGCATCGCTTTCTTTTATAAGTTATTCATTAAAAATATATAAATCGGTTCTGCAGAAGTGACTAGTTTCTTGTCTTGTTGGTACTAAATGTAGTTTTTATGAACAGTTATTTTGCCCAAGTTGAGACTGAGAGTAGTATTAGTTTTGTTTCCCTTTTTAAGAATGCCAGTCTGTGCAAAACATATAACCACACTGACCAAAAGCCAGTGAAAACCTTGCATGTTGTCATATCTAAATAAAGGGGGAGGTAAAAGGACAACAACATACGCTTCAGAATGTTTTATACAGCCTCCAACACATACATGCTGAGTGTGTATTTTCAAAGGGACAAGGGAAACATGCATGATATGAAAGTGAGGGAACGAGCGCCCGTGTGCAGGTCTGTATGAGTCTACACATGCTGTTCCCTGTGTTAACTGCCTGCCTGACTATCCTGATCCAGTTAATGTTTCCCAGCTGTGGCTTAGACATGTTCAGTGTGTGTATGCACTTATATAAAGCGGGGGATAGGTCCCTTTGCCTAGTTTGTCTTCTCATCAGGAGCCTCCGTGCCTTCAGCAGCTATTTAAGGCCTGTGTGATCGGCCGGCTGTGGACTGTTGCTTCTGAAAGGCAAGCAGAGAAAGACTCATGATGAGACCATGATCCTCAAAATAAGCTGTATGCTGTGTGTTTTTGACATCTTAATTACAGCTATACTCTTTGGCTGTGACAATAATAGGGGAGCCTTTCTCTGTGTATGTGTGTGTTTATATAGAGTGAGACTGTGCGTGAGAGATCCAGGCAGCAGACGGTTGCAGCTCAGTGTGAAGGCCTGCTCAGGCAGCAGTGAAAGTCTCACATTGGAGCAGCTCTGTTAGCAATCCATGACCCCTGAACCACAGCAGGTCACCCCTGTGCACATAAAGGTGTTTGTGTAAGAGAAAGACAGGTAGGCTAAGCACTGCACTGTGAAAAACAAAAAATTGAATTTCCGTATCCAGCACTTGGTGTTGCTTATTTGAAGATAATGCTCTAGCACTTAAAATGGTTTGTCTTATTACAAGATTATTGCTGTTTTAAGTTATTCATAGTTGATTCCTCTTTAAGTTGTACGGTTAAAAGCGTAAGCTAAATTAAATGTAATGTGATATGATAATGCTGTTGAGTATACAAACATGTAGAAAATCGATTTAGAAAAGTTAGGTGGCGACTTAAAGGGGACCTATCATGCAAAATGCACTTTGTGATGTCTTTTATACATATGTGTCCCTGGTGCGTCAGGGAACTCACGCAGCGTCAGAAAATAAAACCCTCTCTCTTTTCCTCCGTACCCAAATCTTTTAAAAACGGGTGTACAACGAGCGGATACAGATTTCCATCCGAACTGACGTCAAATCGGCAGCGGACCCACTGAAAGTTGCTATCAGAAACAATGCCTGACGTGTTTTGGACGTCTTTGTTTACATTAGCAAGCCTCGCTAACACTCAGAGCTAACCTGTACTGGAGAGCACATGTGTTTAAAAAAACAGGAAATAAAAAAGGAAATCACCTGTTGATAAACCTGCAAGAGAAAAAAGCATTTGAGCTCCATACTATTTCAGAATAATCCTTGACGTGGTTTAAACAGGATGGCGTTTTATCACAACCGAATGTAACTTGATCTCCGGTAGAATTCTGATCAGGCATTAGCTCCGCCTCCTCTTATTTATTTTTTTCAATCTAAGGACCCAAAATCTGCGTTTCTCTAACAGGGCTGCAAAAGAGGGGAATGAGCAGAATGAGGCATGGCTACAATGGGTGAACTGTTCGGTATTTTGAAAAAAAAACTTCACAGAATTTTTTTTATATAGGTATGGGTTTTATATAGGTATGGCCCTACAATATATTTTCAAATATAGCATGATAGGTCCACTTTAATGTATCTGACGAACAATTTGGCATTTCAGTGCATACAGCTTAAAAAAACGACACAATATTGTATATTGCCTGTCTTTAATGTTAACTCTGAATCGATTTAAGTGTAATTCTGTCCTTAGTAAGTGTGTTCAGCTCAGAGCCATAAATGGTGTGCTTTAAAAAAGAGAAGTCTGGAAGTACTATGTCATGNGGGGGGGGAGTCTAACTGACCTTATGAGAGGTACATTGTCTAGCGTGCAGCACAAGGTTGGCCCGCTCTGCAAATACAGATCCTCTTCACATGATTGGTTGTACAACCTGGAACATCAAACATACATGTTCATTTGTGCACACAATAAAAAAAAATCACATTTATTTAAGCTTTAGAAATATTAGTACAACTTTATTCCTGCGGTTAAATGACCAATTGCAGACGCATTTCGAATAATTACTATCACATTTGTTCTTAGTACGTTTGGAATAAATAGTTAATCTGTAAAATAATAAAAATGACGAAGAAAAACAGGGACCACGAGGGATCACCAGATGGCAAGGATTGAGTTTGTGGGATCATCAGAGGTCAAATAAAGCAGCATACAGTCTAATTGATCAACATACCAGTTATCCACAGGGCAGACATGTTGATTGTACAGGGCCATGGCGTACCTGAAATATAAATAGTATGATTAGCCGGGAAAAAAGAAACAATGTTGGTATATTGTAAATCGTCTCAAGTGAGTGAAAAAGTAAAACATTTAGAATAAGGTTCTAATAATACGCAAATAACAGTGGAGTCTTTATCTACGCTGTTGTCTTAGTAACATAGCCCATGACTACACTTTTACTACCAAAATGTCATTTGATCATATCCTGCCAGTCTGACCTTCCACTGATTTAGTTAAACCTGTAGGACCAGACGACCTGACATTCGATTGTTCTTATCTCTCTATCGAGGACTCGGAGGTCAAAAGACTGGTTTGTCTTTCACAACTGGTTTAATAACTGCTGATACCCAACAGTGATGTTTAGTCAGGTCACTGACCACCGACATCCACTAAGAGGTCAATGGCCAGAAGATCAAAAGATAGAAACACATATTATTGAAGATATTTTGATATAAGTGTACTTTTGGATCAACATCATCCTCCATGTTGTGTTTCAAGATGGACATGTCAGGACTGGAGGGACGAAAAGGGAAACTCTGGAAGGAAAAGCAATTGTCACCTTATCCCCTCGCTATTTACGAACACACATGCTGTCAACACTGATAAAAATAATATCTTTAACTGCTAGAAGAAAGATGGGAAGACAGACGGTCAGAGACAGACACAGAGACTATCTATCCAGATTTGTGAAAGCAGTCCTGGTTCAGTAGGAGGTTAAATACCAGTTACAAATGTTTCCGGGGTCGATAGTATCCAAATCACTCTTTGAACCACGGAGTGATATCATAAAGGCGCACACACACCTGCTCCCCAAAAGACACTAACAAGCACAGGCCCTCGTGTCAACACACATAAACACAAGTAAGACTATATTTATTGGAACCAAGACCTATTATATGAGTTACAAATGGTGGTGTTTATAATATTCAAATCGATTAGTGAAATTTGAGTGTCAAACTATAGAGTGCAAGGTCTGACGCTTTAAAATGACTGACTTCAATGTTGTAAAAATATAGTACCACACAGATATATAGTTACAATTATATTATAGTTGTGGGTACATAACTAGAAATATCAGGTAAAGAAGTCCCCCCCCCCAATCCACTACATCATATGGTTATACACTGAACAAAAATATAAACGCAACGCTTTTGTTTTTGCTCCCATTTTTCATGAGATGAACTCAAAGATCTAAAACATTTTCTACATACACAAAATAACCTTTTCTCTCAAATATTGTTCACAAATCTGAAAAAATCTGTGATAGTGAGCACTTCTCCTTTGCCGAAATGTTGTGAATCGAGTGGCCCAAGGTGGTGGTGGGGTTATGGTACGGGCAGGCGTATGTTATGGACGATGAACACAGGCCACTCGATTCACAACATTACCCTAACCCTAACCCTAACACCAGATACTGACTGGTTTTCGGACCCCCCCAGAACCCCCCAATAAAGCAAAAATGCATGTTTCAGAGTGGCCTTTTATTGTGGCCAGCCTAAAGCACACCTGTGCAATAATCATGCTGTCTAATCAGCATCTTGATATGCCACGCCTGTGAGGTGGGATGGATTATCTCGGCAAAGGAGAAGTGCTCACTATCACAGATTTTTTCAGATTTGTGAACAATATTTGAGAGAAATGGTTATTTTGTGTATATAGAAAATGTTTTAGATCTTTGAGTTCATCTCATGAAAAATGGGAGCAAAAACAAAAGTGTTGCGTTTATATTTTTGTTCAGAGAT